CGAATTTGTCATTAAACGATTGGTTCATTAAAATAAAAATTGATAAGGCAGTAAATTTTTAGAAAAACAATGATGAATTATTAAAAACGGAGGGAGATAAAATAAAGAACAGTTTACTAAACCTTAAAGACGAATTATTAAAAACGGAGGGAGATAAAATAAAGAACAGTTTACTAAACCTTAAAAACGATTATTAGAAACGAAGGGAGATGAATTGAACAAAAGTATAAATAAATAAATATTAAATTCACACGAGAAAATTACGAGACTCATGTAGTCAGAAAATAGTTTAAATTAGTAAAAACTAAATTTTCTGAATTTACAATTGTTTTAAAGAATGTAATATAAAAGTCGAGTTCATTAGAACAGAAAATAAGACACAGAAATTTTATTTTACATTTATATTAAAGATTAGTGAAAACCAGTTGACTGTTAAACAAACGATAGAGTCTAAAAATTAAAACGATTGGTTGAGAAGAATTAATAACGAATTGTATTTGACGACAAAGTATAAATTATATTCCATAATAGATTAACTAATGATAGTTAAAAATAGTAAAAAGTCAAAATATTTATTTAAGATGAGTTTTTCAATCGAAAATACGACAGTTTAAGATTTCTTAAATTGAAAGCAAGGTCAATAATTCCAGTATTTAAAACATAAAAATTTATATGATTTAAAATAAATTTATGCGACAGTATCTAAATATTAATTTTTATACGAACAGTATTAACAACAATAACTCATAACGATCTTAATCAAACTCATGTGAACCTGAATGTCTGTTAGATATGAAAATACGACTTAGAGACAACGAAAAGCATGACAGTTATACAAGAAACAGATGTGAACGAAATTCTGATCAGCTAATAAATTTTATAAAATCAACAAATGTATTAGAACAGTTATCAAATCAAGAACGAAAGGAACGTGGAAACAAATGACAGTTTGGAATTCTATGAAAAAGCTCTTGATATTTCTTAAAGAATAACGATTGATTAGTTTTCTATCACATAGATAAAACTATAAGTTAAGATAAAATTTATATTATAATCTTACTGGAAACGAGTGAAACTTGATCAAATAAATAATTTAACGTTTGACTGAAATTAAAAATTATATTTGAACTTCATAATTAGACGAAACGATCTGTTTGCTAATTTGAACATAAGTTTTTGTTAATAGCAAATAATGTTTTTCAAATGTGATTTTGTAATTTTGATTCTTGTAATGCGACTGTTTCAAGACATTATCTCTTGAAATACTAATAATCAAATTTACATTTTTTATTGAAATTTGAGATTAAATATTGCTATTGATGAAAGTCAATATTTTAATAAAATTATGACGATAAGCGAATCCCCGACGAAAAAGTTTGACAAAGTTTTATTTACAACGACTAGTTAAATATGATAATAAAGCTGCAACGATATGTACAAAACAATTGGCGAAATAAATTAAGGCATATGACATGACGGATGTTCATCAAGAATGTATGAAATAATATGTTAAGTACGATTGTATAAATATCGAATGTTTTTCAATTACATAATAATTGTCTGATATAATAACGAACAACAAAGTTGTGTGATAAAAGTTCAATGTGTAACTATATATATACCTAATAACGACAGATTCCTCTTAGGTAATTTCAAAAAAAAACAACTAATATGTAAGACAGTTTCTCTTCTAGACAGTTTGAATAAACAAATGATTAAACGACAGTTCTTCTAAGAAAAATTTAAATGAACAACTGATATACACGACAGTATACAATATGTGACGATGGTAATAAATATACTTAAATGACGAAATTAATTATTTTGAATAATTTTCAGTTACTGAATGAAACTCAGACATAATAATTGGTAGATTGGTAGATGAGCTGTTCGAAAGGTGTCCTAAGATTTACAGAAGTTACATATATCAAATTCGACAATGCTGAAATGTCCAGAATATTCAACTTGAGAAAGGATGGACTTGAAACGACTATATTTAAAATAAATTAAGAAACTTATAAATTATTTTAGCTTGAAATTTGTAAAATTGATCATTTTTATTTATATTGTAAACGAGTCAATCTCGGGAGGGAGTGTTGAAATATTGTATATTCGCGCCTAATATCTCGCTTGACTCTAACAGTAGTTTGATTCTACGTCACTGCCGTGTGCGCACGCACTCCTTCTACTTCTCGATATCGCTTCGACCGTGAACGTCTCGATCGTCAACGAGCTCTTAATAAACGACCGATTTCATCCGTATTTGTGTGTTCTTATTGACTACATCCTGCTCTAAATAATCTGCATGCCAACAATAATTTTATAAATTCTATTAAAATTTATAGAATTTATAAAGAATTTTATAGTAATTTTTAAAAATAATAGACGCAGAAGTTTGGTCCAGTAACAAATTTTATTTTGAACTGTTTCAATTTTTTAAAAAGGGATAAGGGAAACAGTCAAAATTCTATCTAGAAAACGCAAAGTTTTCGTTAGAATTGACCAATCATAATAGAGAAAGTAATGTTATTACGAACATACTATACGTTTAGTTAACCATGGCTTAGGCTGGAGTCCCATGGCAGCGTTTTGCGTTGCGTTTTGTAACTAGTCCATGTGAATGAGAGAGATGGAGATATACGTTCGCTGTACTTGCACTCATGGCCTAGTTACAAAACGCAACGCAAAACGGTGCCATGGGACTTGACCCTTATAACATGTTGGTGGAACGCACAGGCGGTTAAAGCCAACTTAACAGCGCCTTTAACTTTAGCGGACCGTCAGTTAATCGAACCTTTAACTACGAGTTGGTGGAACCGGGCAGTAGTCTATTTTATAGTACTGCTTTTAAATAAAAAAATAACTTCTGTGATTTAATAGCGATGCTATAAAATGAACTACATATCACATCAAGTTAATGACATCTGTTTTTAAATGTATGTAAATATGCGTGCTATAGATTCAATAGCATTTTTTTCTCAGTGTGGAGGATCCAATATGGCGAATAATTTAAAAATTTATGCGTTTCGATCAAAATTCGTTTTTTTTAAGTTTCTGAGGTCGCTGAATTGGATATCAAATGAGTTTCAAGGAAGCGAGTTAAATTTTTTTTTAATTTTTGTAGTCGCTATTTTTAATTGCCATTAAAATTTATTCTTTTAATCTAATATCAGATTCCCAATCAGCGACCTCGAAAACCCCCGAGAAATAAATTTTCGCAATATTAGGTCGCCATATTGAATTCGCCATTTTGAATTTTTGAAAACAGACTTTAAATTTGTAATCAGCGACACAAAAAACCCCCGAATATCAAGTTTCAGGCCAATCGAATCAATTTTTTATTTTGTTATCCGCCATTATGAATTTTTGAAAACAGACTTCAAATTGGCTATCAGCGACACCAAAAACCCCCGAATATCAAATTTCAGGTCTATCGAATCAATTTTTAATTTTATTGTCCACCATATTGGATCCGCCATTTTGAAAACAGACTTCAGATTTGAAATCAGCGGCCCCAAAAACTATAAGAACAGTTAGGAGTTATTTTAAATTTCTATTTTTCTAGAAGTTATGTATTTTGGCCACGCAAACGAGGTTCCTGGCCTACTGTGACATGGTCAGCGACCCTTTCCAAGTCTCTTCCAGGTGCCGTTCCGTGGGGATAAGAAGGGTTCTTCCAAAAATTGCAAAGGAAATACAAGGAAACGATTTGATAATGAGGGAGCTTACTAGGGACAATCAGATGGTTCGAGTTATTGAGAGTTATTAATTCATTTTATAGTTTACTAATTCATTTTGAGTTTTATTAATAAATAGTTGTTTTAGTTAATATTGTGTGTTTTACTGTGTTTTGCGTTCATTGAGGGTCGGAGGAGAGCACCAGAGAGTAGTGAGATATTGGTAGCGTCTCAACGGTCGTGTTTGAAAAGTTCGTTTGATTGTTCGTTGTATAGAGGACCGTTTTGCATCACGGCATGTGCTTTGTAGAATTCCCCAATGAGATTGTGTGGATTTTAAGCAAAGCCTTAGTTGCAAGTGGCAGAGTATTTCTTGGACGGGATTCGATGCAAATGATTCGGATTGAATATTTAAATATATTAATTTGGATCATTAGTTATCTCAATGTCACAATTTTATTTTCAAGGTGCAGGATTGGTTATCTCCTCGTGGTGTATTATTAATTTGATAAATCTTAATGAAATTGGCTAAATAGCAATCAAAGAACGAGGGTTCTGTATACCAAGAAAATGAATTTGTGTTGCGAAAATAAGCGCAAGAGACATAAAAGCAAATATATTATTCATACCGCCATCAAGAAAAGGAGAAACAATTTTTTAAAAAATGTACTAAAAAATTTCTTCTTGCTTTATTTGATTACACTATGAATAATGTATTTGCTTTTGTGTCTTTTACGTTTATGGTGTACGGAACCCCCTGTTTCTGTGCGAGTGTAACTCGCACTTATCCGATTTTTATCAATTTTTGTTTAAAATTCTCAGAATTTCTTTTTCTTGAAAAAATGTAATAAATTTGTACCATTTATTTTTTTTTAATTACGATTTCTTAACAAAGTTTCCAATTTCTTTTAATGAAACAAATTTGCATCATTTAAATTATTCTTTATCACAACTTTTTTAAATTACCAAATATTTTTTTAAGAAAGAGAAAATAATTTGTTTATCTAATTTCTAGTTTTTAATTACAATTTTTAACAAAATTCTAATTTTCTAAGAAAATAAATACAAAAATTATCATGATTTCTATTTTATAAACACAATTTTTGTAAAAAATTTCCAAATTTAAAAAAAAATGGAAATAATTTGCACCATTTTTATTTCTTAATTCAAAATTTTTATTGTTAAATCGAAATTATTTGAAAACTTTTTTCCTTTATCTAAAAGACGAGGATTTTGTTAAAAAATTGTATTTTTTTGCTAGTAATAATAATAATAAAAAAATTAAATAAATTAGGAATAAATCGATAACTGAGATAAACCCACCTGTATTTATGTTCTCCGCGTATTACTACGAAACCTCTATCATCATATAAGTTAAAGTCAATATCACCATATTGAACAACACGATCTCCACTATCGTATCCTAAAGTAATTTTTTCATTTTGTTCCGTTACTCCAATAATATTTCCATTTTCATCATAAGCATACTGACAATTATTTTCATTATCAGCAACTTCAAGAACATGTCCATCAGCATTATAGGTAATTTTCTCAATTTTCGAATATTCATTTTTCACCAAGAAATCTTTTCCTAATGTTATTTTTCGCATTTTAATACGATTACGATTATCATAATCCAATTCCATGCGAAATATATCCATTGATCTAACATTCATTACAACTGTTTTCACACGTCCATGATCATCATAATCGGTAATAGTAAAGAACTGTTTACTACTGTCTTGCATAAGTGAACGATTAAAAACATTTCTGTAAATTCTCAAGTCATTTACACTTTCCAAAACTCCTAAATTTTGATTATACTTTAATCGAATTGATTGAAGTTGTTTTCCATTGATGTCAACGTCAATTCCAGAAATTCGAGCATTGCCATCGTATTGATAACGATAATGAGCATTATTCAACCCGCTTTTACTATTAAACTTTATTTTCTCGTCTTTAACAATTCCTGCATGGTATTTGTATTCAAAACGTATTTCAAAGTTTGGTTCGTTAACGTCAATACTGCGAACTAAGCCAGTCGTTTCTTGATATGTATAGTGAATAGAAGAAACACCTGAAAAGAGATAGAAAAATTATAGTATTAATTTCAAGATTTACAGATTATGCATAATTAAAACAATTATATCTTTTTAAAGGTAGCTAATTAAATTGAATGAGTTACATTACAAAACAAAAATAGAGTTATTTTCTAATCATTAAAAATTTTTGCTATTTACTTTAATTATGCAAAAGCAAAGTATGTTTTAATGAAAACAGACTTTTCTATTTTCTAAGCTGACGATTATAGGAAGGAAAAGTAGTAATAAGAATTAGAGTTTTTCTTACCAGCAAGTGCAGTTTCAAGCTTTCCATTTACATCGTAAACGAAAACAACTTTCCCACTTTGGTGAGGATATATTATTGAAAGAATTTGACCATCGTCATTGTATAAAATTTCATAAGGATGCCTATTCATTGGTGAATAATACTGATATTTATAAAAACCAAGTGAAGTTTGAAGGGAAAATGCATGTATATGTCCTCTTGGAGTTGTAAGTGATTGAAGTGCACCGGCTTCGTCATATTGAAGAAGATAATCACTTCCTCGCGGTGTTGTAACCTTTAAAGGTAGGCTACTAAATCTATCTTTAAATGCATAGTTCATAGATGTTCCATCGCTGTATTTTATTTCAAATAATCTACCGTCTCGATCAAATCCATACGTTTCACTAAGATCACCCCATGTCCAACTGATTAATCTGCTATTTCTATCATACTCTAGTTCAACTCCAGCAAAAATGCCACCTTTTGGTATCCATTTAATAGGTCTTGCAGTGTTGTCGTAAGTTACATTGAGCAGTTCAACTCTGTCATCCATAAAAACTGCCACCGTATTTGTCTCTCTATCGTATTCTAATGACAGTAAAACTTCTCCATTCACTTTCAATTTTCGTCCAACTTGAGCAATAACTTTTGAATTACCACGATGATTATTTCCTTGTACTTTTCTCAAAAAGTATCTCCACTCAAATCTATTAGCTAAATCACCGGCTATTTCAGTTCTCTGTTTCGCAGGAACTGGGTAGCTTTCACCTAAAAGTGGTTCAATTTCTGCCATAATTGAGTATGGCATTGTATCGGTACTAATAGTATGTGACCAGGGTGTATTTCTTTCAACACTCCCATCGGCAAGAATTGTTGTCTTTCGTTCTGCATCGCCAACTTTTGTAATCACTGAAGATCCTCTAATTAACATTGATATTGGCTTACGATTATTTTGTGCAACTTTTATAGTAGCACCTTTTAAATTGAGATCAAAGGATAAATTGATTATTCTACCAGTTGGTGTGATTGCGTGCGTTAATCTACCGAATTCGTCGTAATGATAAACATAACTTCTACCTGTGCTGTCGAGTTTACTTTTAAGTAAACCGGTGAGTTCGTAATAATCAAAAGTAACGTTATAATTATCAGGTGTACTAAGTTCGTGAAGCATTTTCATTTTAGTCATTCGTAATCTACATTTTTGACCTTTTGTATTTTCAACAGAATTTACTTGTCCTCTGTTATCTCGAAGAAGAAATACTTTATTACCAGCGGTATCTGTAACCGTATTGAGTTTTCCATTACTAGTGTTTACATTATACGTAAATAGGTAAATGTTCTCGCCAGTCAGAATATTCTTTGTTGCAATATGTTGCCCAAATCGATTAAATATATAAATTTCTTGTGTTTCCGGTGAATAGATCTCATATTCCTTTGCATTTGTAATCATATTTGCATCTGGTATGCTAGCCATGACAGATCGAATTCTATAATTGGCTTGATCTCCAATGTGGACAATGCTATCTGGAGAGACAGCAACGGAAGAAATAGTATTAAATTTGGCAGTAAATGCTAAATAGTGATCAGCTTCAAAACAATCACAACCTTGTTCCAGACAATTACATTTAGATTCAGCACCAGCGTAGAGAGAAATTTTTCCATCCGTACCAATCACTCTGATTCTGTTAATCCTTTGGGAATCGCTTTCAGCAATAAATAGATCACCAGACGGACCAAATGCAATACTTTGTGGCATTACTAGAGTAGCATGTGTTGCTAATTCTGAATCAAAAATTGTTAAAGAAGCAGAACAATGTAATGGTCTACCTGCAACGACTTTTACTCTACCATCAAGTGCCAGTTGCAATACCATATGATCGTCTATTATGTGAAGAGAATTGTCAAGAGGATTTATAGATAATTCAGTAGGCCATCGTAGATGAACTTCTTCTACATTAAGTGTGCCTTCACATGGAATAGGTTTCCAATGAGATTTATGCATATGATTACCAATAACTGTTGTTATTATTCCATCTTTGTCAACCATACGGATATTTGTACCGTCCGCAAAATAGAGAATATTATCAGCCGAAATTGCTACACCTTTAGGATAGGCAAGTTTTGCATCTCGCGCAAGAGCACCATCACCACAGTGCGCTTCATCTCCAGGTAAACATCTTTCTCCTGATCCAACTACCGTCTCCCAATTATGATCTGGATTATAATCACCCGCTGTTTCACGTACACGAATAATTTGATGTGATTCCGGATCCGAAATATATAGCGACCCATCCAGGGGACTCAATGCAATGTGATAGCGATACGAAACTCGAGTAGCACTGCAAAGAAAGTTATAATTAATATTTATTTATAAAACAGTAGAAAAATTTAATTGACATGATAATAAAATTTACACGGTACCCAGCTGAAAAATCGTGTACAAGATCGTGTACACGATGTTGCACAAGACCATGTACATGAACATTGACCCGAACCTACACAAGATTAGCAAGTGAACTTGTAAAAGAAATTGGAACAAAGAACATGAACAAGAACGTATACAAGAACATGCAAGAACGTACAATTTTTTACGCCTACAGAGCGACTTGAAAATTAGGAGTACTCGCATTTGCCTGGACCACCCGTCTAATGGGTTTTCTCGCCAGTGGAGAGGGAAACTGTAGAAAACCTCTCCTGAGTACAACCGGTTTATCGACAGTCGAGTTCTAATGGTGTGTACCGGACAATAATCGACGGTGCACATCATTATACCTCGACGTCAAACCTCCCACTCAGATTTTCTCACGTGCCAGAAAAATACCAAGCCAAATGGGCGCGAACCATGGGTACTTACCCTTGGTCCTTAAACGACCGCCAAGCGAGGCATCTATCCGACTGAGCTAATCTGTCGGTTGTTTTCTAAAGTTGAGTCTCCAATGTGAGAGAAGGTGCGCATCGATGTTCATAGCTATAGATATACCACATCATACTTTAGTATACCTATAGCTATGAACATCGATGCGCACCTTGTCTTATTGGAGACTCAACTTAAGTGTTTTACAGCTGCGCAGTAGTTTTTTGCAACTTCAGTCAGAGACTTCTTTTGATTACAACTAAAAATTTTCTTTAAATTGTCTTAAATTTTAAACCTAAAAACAACGGTTTTTTAATACACACACGAACATGTACATGAACAAGTACATTTTCGCCTAGATGTTCTCGAACTCAAAAGCCACTCAAGAATGTACACGTTCTTGTTCATGTTCTTTGTTCCAATTTCTTTTACAAGTTCACTTGTTAATCTTCTGTAGGTTCGGGTCAATGTTCCTGTACATGGCCTTGTGCAACATCGTGTACACGATCGTGTACAAGATTTTTCAGCTGGGTATATTTATCTCAATAGACAAATTTATTAATAGTTTCTTACTTAAGACGCAAAATAGTTTGAACAACTCCATCGACGTTAATTTTTCTGACCAAGTTAAAATCCCCAACATAAATTGACCCATCGGAAGCGGCAGCAAGAGCAACTGGAGCTAAAAGTCTCTGTTTTGAAGCTGAACCATCACAATCGGAACAATCAAGAGGTCGTTGATGTCCATCTCCCATTGTTGTTAAAATAACTTGTGGTTTATGTTTCAAATAAATATTAGAACCATCTCCTTTTTGAAGAATACCTTCATGAAAATTATATCTATGATGTATGTCCAGATTCCAACCTCCTATTTCAGAAATAGACATATCGTGACCACTTAATTTTGTTGTCTGCACATCCCATATTATATCTTTACAATCATTGTACTCATATCCAACTTTAATGACAGCAGTTGTGACTCCATATACTCGTTGGCGAAAAATATTTAATCTATTCCATGCGTATGTAAACTTGATAACTGGATCGGCTTCAAAAATTTTCTCAAATAGAATTCCTTCAATCGTGATACGCAAATGTATCAAACTTAATGTTGGTGCTATTACTTCTGGTGTCAATTGAAGTTGAATAGTGGAAAGATAACCAGCAGCTCTGGAACTATGGTAAACGAGATTTAAACCCGTTCCAGGAATTTGCAAACTTTCCTGAACAACTTGAGATTCTACAAGAACTGCACTTTTGTTAGGACATGCGCCTTGAAAACCATGTTTCCAGGTTGCAAGAATAACTGGTTTCATTACATCGTAATCATGTGCTGCACAAGTATGAGTCATATATAATGATGGTTTCTCATCGGCTGTACTCATTATAACCTTGTCTATAATGACAACCTATAACATGATAAATTTAAATGTGCAAATTAATTGTGGTAAAAAGTAAAGTATCTACCTAATTATATTATATAAATTACAGTCAATTACCTCATTCCAAGGAACGTAGACAATGTGAGTTTGTGGCTTAAAAGGCGAGCGACCAAATTGTAAAGTTACAGCGCCTCCACCATTAACCAAAAGATCAAACCATCCATCATCTCTTGTTAAAGTGAACCCTTCTAAAGCTGTAGTGGTGCAAACTCTAACGCCCATCAAACTCATTCCCAAAGACGTTACTACTTGACCGCGTACAACAGCTGACCGACTGTTACAAAAAAATATTTATGAGTTTTAAATACCATTCAGCTACATTTCATTAATTTGTCTTGTACTATAAAATAAAACTTTTGTACCATCGTATCAAATAATTTGTGTTGAAAGCAATGATTTTTGATAGTGTCATATTAAAGGAATTTAAATATGTAGGAGAGGCACGTTCAAAGTTCCAAATGAGAAAATCATTCTTTTAAATTGTAAATTTGAGATAGTAAAATATTTAAACACTTTAAATCACGTAGTACATATTTATAACAAACTTTCTTAATTAATCATATCTGGTGTGGAAAACTTTTTCTAAAACATGTGGTTTTTTTAAGACATAACATTTTTACAAATTATGTTTCCAAAAAATTTTTTTGAACCACTTCTCCAACTATTCTGAAATAACTTAAATGATCTAGTGCTTAGAAGAGGATTAAATTCTGTTATCATTGGTATAGCTTAAAAGGCAAGATAGTGATAAATAGAATGTAGGGGGAAGGAAAACAGTGTTTGATCATCAATGAGTAGCAGAGGCATATGCTGATCTCTGCGGTTGTAGATAGCATTTAATTTGTGACAAATCAATAAGAGAAATAATGGGGATTATGTGCAAAGAAGTATTTGACGACGAGTAAGAGTCTACCAACTGGAGACTCTATTTGTAACTACCTGAGTTTTCAGTTTAAACTGGTCCCCGGTTACCAATAACACTGTTGCTTACCGACCGAACAGTCGGAAGTCCAGTCTCTTATTTTAAAAAATTGTAATCTTTTTTATTTCTAACCAGTATTTACAATTTCATGTCGGTGTAAAAAAGGTAAAACATTTTCTTTGTTGGAACAATGTGTTTTTAAATATCAACTAAAATGGTATAGATTTTACAAGTCACACTTGCAAATAAATATATTTTAACAGATACACGAAATAAAGGTATAGTTTTCCACCAAATTGATGAAACAATTTTACGCTTTGAAATAACTACATGTTTTAAAAGAATGTCTTCATTAGACAAGATTAAAAAAAGTTTAGAATGTTGTTTTGTAGCGTTAAAAAAGAAAAATTAAAGCTGAAAAGCAAAATTAAAATCACTTGATAAAATCGACACTATTGAAGATTTTAAAATTATATATTTTTCCATTTTTCCATTTAAGTAAATAAAAAAATTTTTATTGTAACCCAGTAAGAAGTAAGGAATTAATAAGAATTCGAAATTTTTAATTCTTTTGAATTCCGTTTCTGACCAATTCTTTTCATTTTTATTTGGTGAAGCCGAAAAGAAGCTAAGTTTATTCTTCTAAATACCGTTTTAATAAAAATAAATTTACCGGTCCGAAGATTTCAACCCTCAAGTTTCATTGTCAGAGACAAACAGCTTGCCCTCTCAGCTATTTAAACTGGACTATGACTACTGAATTTTAGAAGCACTTATCTCAAAGTGTTGCTAACTTCAAAGGAATTTAAATATTACGAAATATTAAAACGGAATAGACAGGAAATGAACTTACCGAGTATCACACAGTATTTCGAAATTCACAAAAATTCCAAAATTAAAGAAATATTAAAACGGAACTGATTGGAATTTACTTTCAAGAAATTTTTGCCTCAAAAAGCAATATATAGGAATTGGACAGAAACGGAATTCCAAAAAAATTGTTAATTTAATATTTTCTGTAAAAAGTTAAAAATGGTCAATTCTTCTCAATTCCTTACTTCTTACTGAGAAAATTAAAATGACTTGCTATGATTATTAATTATTATTATTGCTTCCTCATAGAAGCATTATTAAACAAAAATTATCAAACTCAAATTTTTTACTTTAAAAAAAACATTATCATAATATATAATTTCTTACGCTGTAAAAAAGGGATTTAAATTTTAACTCCCCGCACGGAAAAACCTTTGAGAAGTCTGTCTTCCCACTGTCAAAATATTTCTTTTCCCACTGCATGGGAAGTCTGATCGCCCGCCACTGGGTGCGTATTAGCGTTACAGTTTTCGATAAACACTGCTGGAAGTAAATAGATAGAAATCTTTTCTCTTTTAATCTCTTTCTATTGCTAATATAGAAAGAGATATGAATATTGTATAACTTTTAATCTCTTACCTATACTTTTTTATGCCTTTTTATTCCTACCTTTATCAACTTGTTCGCTATTTCTTTTAATCACCTTCTTTGAATAACTTTTAATAGCCTTTTTAAACCCTTCTATCTCTTTTTATATACAATCTTATTACAACTTTTTGTTATCCCTTTCAATCACCTTTTCTCTATTACTTTTAAAATCCTGTCTATTTCCTTCTATCTCTTTCAATGTTAGATCTTATAGACACTATTCTTTATACCTATTAATAACCTATTCTCAATACCTTTTAATAACACAGGCACACAAAAAAAAGTGTCGTGGCCGAGACACTACAGTAGTATATTTCTATGTATTTTTTCCCGCTGAATCCGAATCTGAAGTCAGAATTGACAGACGTGCTCAAAATTTTGAGCTAAACTCAAAAAACGACTCAAAAAACCGAATTAAAATGACGAAAATGAAAAATTTCTTCTGTGACACTGAAAAAGTATATTCCTGTGTATTTTTTCACGCTGAAACCGAATTCGAAGTCAAAATTGACAGATTTGCTCAAAATTTTGAGATAAGCTCAAAGAATTAATAAAAAAGCGATTTAAAATAAAGAAATGAACATTTTTTGCTATGACACTACATTACAGTATTTCCATATATTTTTACACTCGGATGTCGCATTTAACAGCATGTGATTGTTACAGAATTCAATGTTAATTTTTTTCGACCACTTTTCTCTTAAAATATTAAATAAATTAAGCTAGTTTTTTGTGAATAACTCTAAAATATCATAAAGAAGGGCAGTGATGTGAAAAAGTTTTAATATTTTTAAAATTATTTATTAAAAAATAACTTTAAAATTATCAGTTCTCAAAATCACTTTTAATCAATTTCTCGTCTTTTCCGATTTCAAAGTATTTTTTTATAATTTATTTTAGAATTATTAAAACTTTTGCACATCACTGCTCTTCTTTATTATATTTTAGAGTTATTCACAAAAAACTAGCTTAATTTATTTAATATTTTAAGAGAAAAGTGGTCGAAAAAAATAACATTGATTTCTGTAACAGTCACATGCTGTTAAAGTCAGAATTGACAGATTTCTGACTGATTTGCTCAAAATTTTGAGATGAACTAAAAAAATTGATAAAAATACAATTTAATATGAAAAAAGGAAATTTTTTGCTATGACACTACACTAGTGTATTCCCATATATTTTTTCACTGTGATTCCGAAGTCAGAATTTTCAAAGTGGCTTAAAATTTTGGGTTTTGGTATTCAGTACGAATCTAGAGTTACCACACTTAAACAACTCTGTCTTAGCTTGTGATATATTGGACGAAAATTTATTTTGCTTGTACCTGTAACCAGGGTTTGGTACTAAAAAATTGTTGTCAATCTGATAATTCTAACTTCGAATTTGTATTCAGCGTATATAAAATTCATGAGAATACACTACCGAATACCAAAAAAATGAACTCTTTTGCATTAAATTTTGAGCATTTTTGGATTTAACTTAAAATTTTGAGCAAATTTAATAATTTTAACTTTGAATTTAGAAACAGATGTAAAAATAAGAGAATATACTAATGTAGTGTACTAGCAAAAGTAGAGTTTCTTGACTTTAATTTTTGTAACTTAACAGATTTTCTTGTGTGTCTCAAAATTTTGATCCATTTGAATAATTCTGACTTCAAATGCGAGATCCGAGTGTAAAAATATGTGGAAATACTGTAATGTAGTGTCATAGCAAAAAATTTCCATTTATTTATTTTAAATCGCTTTTTTTATCAATTCTTTGAGCTTATCTCAAAATTTTGAGCAAATCTGTCAATTCTGACTGCGAATTCGGATTCACCCTGCCGGAAGAATGGACTGAAATTGTACTGGGGAATTAGAATTGAGAGCTCAGTGCTATTTCAGTGAAAATTTGCTGCGTTTCAGCACTGAAATTGTACTGGGAAAAATTACCTGCAAAAGGGTCGCTATCGGTGATGTTTATGGCCTGACCGTCATTAAGTTGAAGAACGAATATTTCTTTGTTAATGTTAAAAATAATTTTTATTTATATTTCAACATTATATTTGTTTTTCATGAACTCAGATTCTTTACAAGTATTTATTAGGTATGCTAAATATTCTTGCAATCTAAATTCAAAAATAATATCCGTTTTTACGTAGCAATTAGAGTTTGCGAGATAGTTTATAACTTTTTTAATTAAACATTTTTTATAATGAATTTTAGATATTTGTAATCATAAAACATCACAGATTCAAATTTTTTTGTTTTGAAAATTTAATTATTTGAATTGTAAACTTTTTAAGCCATAAAATTATAATCCCATACAACAATAGGCTTTCGGGTCTATTGTTAAAGCAGGGGTTGCAATATAAGTTTAAAATTTAACGGGAATTTCGTTGAAAATTTTGTAAACCTTTTTTATTTTCACTTCCAGACTGTTAACAATGGTTTGTTGACTTAACCTACATTTGAAACTATTGTTAAAGGACTTTAAAAATGTCTACCGAAACTTAAAAAAACGGACTGAAATTGTACTGGAGGCCAGTACTTTTTTAGTCCATTCTTCCGGCAGGGCAGCGTGAAAAAATACATAGGAATATACTTTTGCAGTGTCACAGAAGAAATTTTTCATTTTCGTCATTTTAATTCGGTTTTTTGAGTTTAGCTCAAAATTTTGAGCACATCTGTCAATTCTGACTTCTAATTCTGATTCAGCGGGAAAAAACACATGGAAATATGCTATTGTTATGTCACAAAAAAAATTTTTAATTTTTTTGGTTCAAATTCGTGTTTTGAGTCGTTTTTTGAGTATAACTCAAAAAAAAGAACCAATTTGAGCATTCGGACTTCACTGCCGTCCAGAGGAAAAAGATACATAAGCGACATTTTTGAAAAAATTGACTTTTT